GATAGAAAAAATAGTGTATATCCATGAAGTCCTAATTCAAAAGCATTATACTCCAATATCTTGGAAAATCAACCCTTGGATTTAGGATTGATATCTATATATATATATATATATATATATATGAGTTAAGATCTATTTACAAACAACTCTTACGTATATCACTTAAATAAAATTTTGATCATTCATCTCTTACCTATGAATGGTTGAGATTTATTGACTTTTTATCATATTTTAAAAGATAATTTTCTTTTTCATTTAAAAAATTGTGATAAATCTCAACCATTCATAATGGAGAGATAAATGGTCAAAATTTTAAGTGATGTGTGTAAGAGTGGTGTGTAAGAGGATCCTAACTCTAAATAACTACTATCAGATAATTCTACTTCTTAGTGATAATGATATTCATGTTAGTTGGAAAGATGTGAGATGCACTTACATATTGAGAAGAGATGGACCTTTTTGTGTAGGAAGAGTGCCATTTAGCTTGTTATTTCCAAGAAACCTAAACAATAATGAAGTATCAACACATGTTTCAACATAATAAAGTGAGTTTAGAAGGCATATGGAAAAAGTAACTAGACAAAGATCATATCTTACAAATGAGTTATTGAATTTAAATTGAAAAGTGAGTCTGGAATTTGCCCAGATATATCATTGAAACTCAAATCCCTGGAAGATAGGAATTTTCATTATAAGAAATATGAAATTACAAAGAATAAATAAGTAACAAAATTAAAAAGGATAATAATACAAATTGAAAGACTTGACTGATGCCCACTACACCACAACCACCTTTATCACAATAACAATATTCAATAATAATAATAATAATAGCTAGCTTAATTTAGAGTCTCAAGAGCAAATAGCTTTAAGCCACAAAAGTGAAAACAAAAGAAATGAAATTGATGGGAGTTGGGAGATAAGGATATTTGCTTATTAATCAAAGAAATTAGAAGATTTGAAACATAAAAACTCATTGTTTGCTTCAATAGAAGCTCCTAATTCCCCCAAGTTTGTAAGGTCACACTATTAAAAAGCTATTGTAGACAATAATAAAAGAGATAAAAATGTAATGGTAAAGCCAAGTCTACTCCAGCATGATTATGGGTCAAAAGAATCCTGTTCTGGTTGCCTAATAGAATATTTGAGATAACAAAAATCAGACCTAATCCATAAATTACATGCTAAAAAAAAGATACTACCTGTTAAATACTTAATTTTATAAATATTATAAATGGTCCTTCTATGAGTTGTTTTGCTATCAAGTTAGAATGATAAATCAAATAGTCTGCAACCTAATTGAAAGTTCAATTGACTAAAAAAATCAAATCAATTAGTTTCACCACTGGCCTAAATTGTATTTAAATTGGAAACCATCAAATATCAATTACTTACAACTGTTTCAAACTCTGGTATTCTCCAATATTTGATGGAATTGTACCAGAAATGTTACTGTTCCTTAATTCTCTGCAAGACATGTAACTAAATTATTGGAGACCAAGAAAAGGAAGAATGAACTTTAATGTGTGTTTGATAGTAAAAGAAAACAAATTCAACTAGATGCCAAATCTGGACCGCCTTACAGGATGCTTAAGGACTTCATATCCTTAATAAATTCCAGAGTAGAGCTTCCATTAGACAAACCATTAATCCTCCTTTATGTGTATCACAATTCACATGAGTTAGTTAGCAACAGAAATCTTTAATATACTGACAAGAGTTAATTGAAGGGAGTAAGGGTACTCACAATTCTTTCATTGAAGCTAAATTAGCAAAGGTTGGAGGTATTGGACCATCAAAAGAATTTCCTTCAAACCTCCTATAACAAAACAAAAGATTAAAAAATTATAACAGTGAAGAGAGTGAAGAGATAATAGTTCAATTTATCAATCCCCAAATCATAAAATAATAGTGATAGAAGATAAATTACAAGCTCAAGAGTCTTTATATAAACTGAAGCATCGTAATATATATAGAAAAATGATGATGATACTATAGTTTTCTTACAGAGTATTAAGCTTTGACCAATTCCCAATAAAGTCAGGTATCTTGCCTGTGAGTTCAGTGTCAGATGCCGACCTGAAATACATGGATGAAATGCTCAAAACACTGACATAATATTTTTCTCTTAGATTCCATATAGTTTCAGAATTTTCAAATAAAAAACATTCAAAAAGCTCTTACAATATAGCTAGATTTTGTAACCTAGCAAATGTCGAAGGAATGTCACCACTAACTCCAGAGCTACTAATGTAACTGCCAACAAAAGAGATTTGAAGCCATTAAGTACATGCGTGTGTGTGTGCTCTATGTACATGCAATGAGCTTTATGATAATTGCATACTCAATAAGGATCTTAGAGAACTCAAAACATTTCAGGAATAATGTTTGTAACATAAGAAGCACATCATAAAGTTCAACACAATTGATGAACATCTCTTCAATTGTTAAGTACACAATCATTAAGAATGATTTTCAACATCCAAAAGAGGTTCCATACATCCAGATTAACAACCATGTAAATGCTTTATATAAATCATTTTCTTTATATATCAGATGATAAAACACAAAGAAAGTTTTGAATGGGTATAGACATATGAAATTTTTCTTAAAAAGGAATTTGAAGATTTAAATCAGTGAATTGGTAATTAATTTTAAAAATTGATGCAGAATACCAAATTCTTCAAAACACTAAATTGTCTTAGCATACTCAATTTTAATTTTTCATGAAGAAGTTTGGTCTCCTGCATTTTGTTTCTTGAGGCATTCATTCATGCATCTGAATCTCCTGTAAATATTAAATATGCTTGTTACCAAGCTTTCTTAAGTTTAATTTCAAACTACAATTTAAAACTGTCTTCATCGAATAATTATCACTAACATGGCAAAATATTCCTTCAACCTCAAGTGCGTTTTCTTTATCTTCGATTTCTTCAGCAGCCTATGGGAATTCATTGTAGGACCCAACTAAGCTAAAGTTCAAGTTTCTAATTACCTCTCAAATTCCTTGGTTTACAATAAAGTCCAAGGCACTATAATCCCCACAGATTGAAGGGTAGATTTTTTTTTTTTTTCTAATGATAACAATGCTACTAGTGACAGATGTTCCAAAATAATTAATATCTAGCTCACCAAAATTCTAGGCTTAGTTTGAAAATGCTGCTTATAGTATTTTTTGCACATATTTACAAAACTTTTTGTAACTTGTGCGTTTGGTAAATTATCCAACCTTCTTTTTCGGAAAGGAATACAAAAGTCATCTTATCCAAAATTAATAGAATACCAAAATAATTTAATAAAATTCCCAAATCTTTTTCCGTACATTATATATTAAATTATTAATTAATTTAATTTTAAATAAGAATGTGTCTAATTGAGTAATTTTACACTAGGTAGTTTTTTTGAAATATAATTACCAAACACTAAAATGCTTTTCGTGACAGTATAACACAACACTTCTAATAGCTACAGCTACAAGGCAGCACTGGATAACATTATCAAACTAAGCCCTAGTCTCATAATTATCAACCATGAAATGAAACAAAAAAGGATTTGCAAAGCATTGAAAATAGAAAGCTACGTATGTTGTGCTTCAAAAGTCAAAACTTACAGCTGTTCCAATCTCAACAAATTCCCAAGATTAGATGGCAAAGGACCAGAGAAGTTATTTGAAGTAATTGACCTATAAAATATAATAAAAGAAAAAGTGATGATGATGATGATAATGATGATAAAAAAAAGGTGATGTACAAAAAATCTCAAGCATTTTTATTTTAATTTAGATAATAACATTGACTACCACAAGAGTATAAAATTATCCCCTTATTACATAATACATGCATCAATTGACAAAAGTGAACTTAAACATAATAAAATAATGAGACAAATAGTGTTAACTTACAACGATCTTAAATCAGTAAGCAGTCCAAGTTCCTGCGGAACCTCACCCGATAAAGCATTAATGCCAAAACTCCTATTAAATACATATAGGCTAAACATTGTTAGAGAAATAATAATTTATAAAAAACAAAGTCAAGGATTTATGTCAAAAATTGGGATTTCCTTACAGCCATTGCATTTGAATTAGATTGCCAATAGATGCAGATAGAGGACCAGTCAAATGATTTCGACGCAAATCCCTATATGCAAAAATGGGAAGTAACATTATAAGTATATTTAATTTAACAAACCAGAGTCTCATGTTCTAAAAACTGGAAAGTGCTAAAGAAAAATATAATTTTAAGAAACATACAGATTGGTGAGGTAAGTCAAATTCCAGAGTGCATCCGGAATCACACCTACAACGTTCAAGGCGAAAACTTTCCTGTAAAAATGGTGTCTGTAGTAAGCAATCTCAAATTGAAACCCTAAAACATTGGAGATTTTAAGATGAAATTGGAGAGGGTTAAGGGAAGTTTGGGGATTACGTACAGTTGGGTGATGTGGCAAGTGGAGTTTTCACATTGGCAAGTGATGATGGGGTTCGAAGTTCCGCTGTCGAAGACGGTGGCGTCTAAGGCGACTCCACTGCAAAGCTCGCCACTTAAGTTCCATTGAGCCTGGTTTGCTGATATTCCCCATTGTCGAAATATGGAGTTCAGTATTCTAGCTGCAATCAATTTTGTAGACAATTTTGAGCCCAAGTTCTGAAATGTCACTTGCACACCAATTTTTGGTTTTGAATTTTGGCTTAATGATAGATTTAGTCGCAAGAACTAGATCATCTGTTAGTTTCATCCATAATCATTTTCAAGAGTCAAGTTAGCTGTTTTGCGGGACGAAGTTAAGTTTCCAATCAGTTTGATATTATTATCATTATTTTTATTTTATCTTGAATAATAAAATTAAAAATAATTTTCTCTAATTTTTTATTTTTTAATTTATTTCACTCATATATCATATGATTTGAATTTACTATTAATATTTCTTTTTCTTTTCATTTCCTTCTCTTTTCTTCCCCCAATTTCCTCTATTTTTCTTTATTAACATTTATCCAAACATGACATTAGAGTTGAAATTTTAAAATTATTTTTTAATTTTTGGTTGGGAAAAACCCTTTTTCCTAAATCTTTTAAAATTTTCTTATTATAAGATTATTTATGTATTTTTATACATTAATTTTATTATAAAAAAATAAAAATAATATTTTTAATATTTATTTTTTTGATATAATTTTCAATTGATAAAATTTTCTTCTTATATTTTTGAAAGAAAAATTTTTTTTCCAACTTTTTTATGTAAAATCCACTTAATAACTTTCTTATCAACTTTTTTTAATATTAATTCCTTATCAAATATAAAAAAATTAATAATATAATATAATTCTAATAAAATTTCACTACAAAATTTATTATTTTTTATACGATAACTACTTTTTTAATAAATATTTTCTTTAATAAAGTTGTCCTTCTATCCGAAGATATCCAATCAAATACCCAAGTTCTCAGTACATATTTTATTTAAAGCCTTTATCCCTGAATCCCTATTTTCACAACTCCTCTCATCTACCACATTCCAATTCGCAGCATTCAACTCCCGAAATTCCTAATTTTTCTCAATTCCACTCCATCATCCGCCGCACACTCTCCTTACATTTCTCCACCAATTTCTGCTACACTTCACCAGATTTTCATCATATTTAAATTTTCTAATTATATGTAACAAAATATATTTATATATAATTAAAAAAAT